GTTTTTCTAATTTGAAATATGTTATAGATCATAGCTATTTAGATTTATACAATTTTTATTTTTTCTGCGATAGCTAGGCTACATTCTAGAGCTTTGACCCGAGTCAGAAAATAGTGACCCAGGCGGGTCAGATATTTATCCGGGTTATGACCCGGGTCAACGGGTCATGTGAACAATTATAATGTTTTTTGAGATTAATCGCTCTTTTAATTACTGAATTAGGAAGACAATCGAATTTTATGAATCCTATGTACTGTACTGTACTTGCATATTATGTACGTACATATATACAAACTATTGTAAAAACAATGGTAATATGCAGGATCATAGGATTCATAAATTCGATTGTTCCCCTAATTTGAAAAGCGTGCAACACTTAAATAAAGATGTTCCTCTTTAAATAGAAATCATAACTTACGCCAAGAAGCAAAACTTATCGTTCATAATAAGGTATTTGAAGGATAATTTAAAACTTTAGTCGCTAAATAATCTCGAATGACAAAATTATCTTTAGAATATGAGTACTTACTAATTGCTACAATTTTATTAGTAAGCAAAAATTTCTTTGTCATTTATAATCAGGAAATTTGAACACATCTTTCTTCTCTGTTACTATGGTATTACGTACTAGAAATTTTTATCAAATTTTGTTTCAGTACGTTCACGAAATAGCTAAAGCCAAGCAAATGGGCTGAATTAGATAAGCATAAAGCATTGGTGCATTATCAAAATTAGCTAAGGCTGATAATTTTGTGAATGTTTAAAATCATTGCATTGTTTTCGTTCTTCCAGAATTGGTGTAGAAAAGAAACAATAATGGTAAATACACCATACCTGGGTTATGAGGTTTAAATTTTCTGTATCGTACGTACATATATAAAGTTTCTAACTCCCAAATTTTACTCACTAGGTCATTTGCAGAGTTTCAACAAAAAAAAAAAAATTTTTAATAAAAAAAAAAAAAAATTACTTAACAGATTTAGCACCCCACAACACGTACTATTGTTACACACCTTAAAGTATTGGTAATTCATTATTTATTTTCCGTTATTTATTATAATCCAACATATCATGAGAAGTAATTAACAATATAACTTTATTCTAAAATAAAAAATATTGCGGTTTACTGGGATCTTGTAAGTATATTATAAATATGTGTATAAGATTTGCTAAATAATGTTAAATTATTAATAGCATTCAAAAAATATTTAATTCGTCAAAGGTTGCAGATTTTGAATTATTCAAGCAGAAAAATTATGGATGAAGAATATTTAGATGATATGGCGTTAGAACCTAAAGATAATATGGCGTTAGAACCTGAAGATGATATGGCGTTAGAACCTGAAGATGATATGGCGTTGGAATCTGAAAATGTTGATTTGAATGGAACAGAATCTGATGATACGAATATTAATGAAGACTCCGTGTTATCACAACCTAATAGTCAAGTTTTTGTTAAAAAACAAAAAAAAATTGAAAGACTAAGTGGTAGCCCTGTTAAACTATTTTTTGAGACAAAGTTAATTAATAATATAGAGTATTGGTTTTGCCAACATAAATCTTGTACTTCACGAGTAAAATATATAAAGGATGGGTCCATATCGAATTTATGGCGTCATATGAGAAATAGGTATCATATTTCACGAGCAATGATAGAAGTTGGTTGAGTAAAGGTTGTTGTAAAGGAAAATAATAAGTATAAATTTTCTGTAATGCCAGAATCTTCACAAACTACAATAATGCAAACATTTAAAAAAATTAAAAAATATACATCTACTAACCCAAAACAAAAAAATCTTGATCACAACGTAGCTGCTTTTATCATTGAAGAACTACAGCCATTTTCAATTATTCAATCTTGAGTATTTAAAAGAATAATTGAAGGGCTTGATATACAAGCTAACGTGCTTGGTTATGATCGTTTGAAAGAAATTCTAATTAATTCTGAGGATAAGATTCTGCAGAACCTCCGTGAATATGCACTTGATAGTGCTAAAATTAGCTATATTTCATTTACTACTGATATGTGGACGTCGAGTAATGGTGATTCGTATATTGGTCTTACTCTTCACTAGATTAATGATAATTTTCAAGCAAAAGAAATGATTGGTAACATTTCGTACCTCCCATATCCCTATACTTCTGAATGTCTTTTTAATAAAATTACCGAAATTTTGGATAATCTTCAGCTTAAACATATTACAGTTAGCAGTACGGTTGATAATGGGTCAAATATTAAATCGTGTTTAGAAAAATTAAAGCGAAAATATGGCATTTTTAATATTTATTGTTTTGGTCATACTTTACAGCTAGCTATTAACGATGCATTGAAAGAGTGTCTCAAAATTACTAATTTAATAAAAAAATGTAAAGATATTGTATCACATTTTAGCGGAAGCCCTAAGCAGAAACAATTTCTTTTAGAAGCTCAAATAGAGATAGAAGACTGGGATAACTTTCTTTTTGTAGTTCGTGATGTTTCAACAAGATGGAACTCGACATTTTACATGTTAAAACGGTTAACAACTCTTAAACCAGCAATATATAAATATAAGTCTTTTTTAGTTGAAATTAATGATAATAGTTTACTAAGAAGTTACGAAGAAAAGGAGCTGTCATCAGATGAATGGGAAAAAATAGCCGAGTTAGTTAAGTTATTGTATCCTTACAAAATAATTTCAAAAAAATTATCAGGTTCAACATATCCAACACTTTCTCAAGCATGGTTTGCGATTAATTTCATTAAAATAAAACTTAATTGTACAATAATAAATAACATTGATATTCAGAAATTCAGAAGTCTTCTTGGCAAATCAATTCAGAAACAATTCTCAGAACCAACAAAACCTATTCGACTTGCTGCTTTTTTTGACTCGCGGACTAAAGATATGCAAATTTTTACAGAAAATGAGAAGAATAATACTATTTCAGAAGCACATATGGAATATCTTGAATTAGCTAATAACTATTATAGATTAGATAGTTTATCAGATACGGCATCTGATAGCATAATGAATAGCGAAGAAGATATTTTCTCTGATCCTGTGGCTCAAGAGCATTCAAGTCAAAATGATGATGATAACATTGCTAACCGTGAATTTAATTCTTATCTATTACTACCAAGGGTTCCGAGTGATACAGACATACTTCAGTGGTGGGCCTCAAGAAAAGCTAATTATCCTATACTTGCAAAGCTTGCTCGCAAGTATCTTTCAATTCCGGCCACGTCAGTACCATTTGAACGCTTTTTTTCTTCTGCAGGCCTCACTATTACTGAAAAAAGGACAAGTCTAAATTCTGAATTCGTTGAATCAATCTTATTCCTTAAAGTGGCTCTAAAGCTTTGGCCTGTCTCACATGTTTTTGGTTAGGTAAGAAAAATTTTATACCTAAATGTTTTAAAACAATTGAATTTAGTAAACTAACGGATTGTTATTAAATAGGCAGGCGGTTCCAGAGTTAATCGGGTATAAATTGAACATTTGAACATTCAAAATGAAAAAATAAAGCATATATAAATTATATATATACA